CATTTTCTGATGGAGCAGATGAGCCCCACGTGAAGCAGAAGCCAATGAGATGGAGGCCAGTACGGAAGAAGATACATCCTGTAAAATTAAGAGACTTTGTTGTATTTTAATTTTGTGTTTGTAAATTCTGTACATTTAATTAAGTTGTTGTTAATTATCTATTGGTTAAATGTAAGTGGCTATTGTTCGGGACGAACAATACTAAGGAAGGGGCAGTGTTAAGACAGCGGAAGTCACGCGACGCTGGGAGCATGCGCGCTGGAGTTTCTAGAACATCATGAATTATCGAGAAACTCCGTGAATGTCCTAGTATTTGCCAGGCGCCCTCCTTTTTAGTATATAAGCCTGGCGAGAAAAACCAGCGCAAGGGCAGAGATAGATAGATTGAAGAGATAGATAATTGAGCCAAGGCAACAGTAGGCACGTAAGTAAAGTGTGTGAATCGCTGTGATTTATAGTGTGTGTTATAAAGGTTGTTAAGTTTAAAGTGGCTGTGGAAATTATGTGTATTACAAAGTTGTATCCAGAAAGAATAAACTAGTTTTAATAAAGAAAGGACTTGTATCGCTGAAGTTCCTCGGGAAGAATTTATACCGGAAATTAACAAACGACTAAATACGTAACATTATCGTTATTTAGCATTAGAATTTTGTTAGAATAAATAAACTTTACTGAGGAAAAAACAGACTGCTCCTAATAAAGTTTTTAAGGGTAAATATTGAGTAATGAAGAATCCATGTTTTTAAGATTATAGGTTCTTTATGCCAGATTGCAAGAAAAACTTATTTCCCTTATGTTACTATTGAAATTTAAAAGAAGTTGATTTTTAAACTAATACTAGTTTCTTGGCTAAAGTAAATATGTGCCTTGTTTTTTTAATGACAAAGACTTCTGATTAATCATATTCTAATTGTATACCTCATTATTGCATAATTGATGATTCAAAATTTTCTATTCAGCAGTTTTTTCATTCTACTTAACATTTTCTGTTTTAATTTTTGAAATTTAAGCCCCACCTCAGTGCAATGCAAACCAGTATTCCTGTGGCCAGTATGTGTTCAATCAGTCATACTGTATTCCAAAGCACTGGCACTGTGATAGGGTTGTGGACTGTGTAGATGGGACAGATGAAGGGGACTTGTGTAGTAAGTATATGAACTTGAATATTGTTATGGCTAAAATGATCTTCCATTTATATATTCTCTTTATAGATTAAAACTAGAGGGATATTGATATTGGTTTATATTATGAACTCAATAAAGTCTAAAGAAAATATTTAAATTAGTGATGCAGGTTACTGCTTCAAGAAATTTGCTTGGGATCATATTTAAAGTGCCTTACATTCAGCGTACAAGTTATAGCTTTTAGTATTCTTCTGTAGAGAAATATTTTTGTGTTACAAAGTAAAATTATCTTGCTGGTACATTTATGAATAACATATACAACTGAAGGTAGTAAGTGTCTACCAATAAATTTGATGAATAGTTTATATATAGTGATTATGCTCAGAAATAATCTATATAATTATTAACCTCAAGATTATCTTTTCCTGTCAGTAAACTCTGTAAATTATGTGTAGGATTATTATGTATAAAGGTGTCTTTTTTTCTGTCTGTAAATGTAGTAAATGATGTATATAATAATTACACTCAAGGGGGTCTTTTTGTATCACTAAAATTGATAAATGATGTATATGATTATTGTAACTAAGTTTGTCTTTTCCTGCCTGTAAACCCAGTAAATGACATACATATATATATATATATATATATATATAT